CTCGTTTCCAAGGTGAATTGGACCCAGACTCACTTTTGCCAGTGTCCATCCAGGGCCTCCCTCTTCAGGAGAGGGAGCAGAACATTGCATGATGTATTACTTATTTTAATCAAATACAATTTTTTTTTAATTGTCACTGCTCCGGCAGCCTCACGGGGGTCGGTCTGACTTGTGTACATCCGTGACAGGGGAAGCGGCAGCGGCAGCTGCTTTGTGGCGCCCGCCCGTGTACAGTACCTCTCCAGTCTTGTCAGTCACAGCTTCCCTAATTACAGAACATCTGCTTGCTGTGGCCATTAACACTCCTCTACCAGCTTGTCTGGTTTAATACCAGTGACTCCTGACCTTCCCCAAGGAAGGCGCTTTCTGTCAAAATTTCCCCCCAAAGAAGCCAATTCGCCACGCAAAATTTGCACTTTTTTTTTTTTAGTGCTACCTTACTAAAGCCTTCTGGAAGGAAATGGGTTTGATGAGGCATCGGTGGGTAGGAGAAACCCCTTTTCCTGTATTATTTCGTTCATGTTTGTATCTTTTGAAAATTAAAAACGGGAGTCTTGTGAAGGGCCAGGAACATAAACTGAAGTGCTCCCCAGTCCCCTCGACTATGTTCCTGGTCCTCCAGCTAGGGGGCAGTGCAGATGCCCCTTGGCTCCCTTTTCCCCACCTGCCCTACACGCAGTGAGAGACTCCACTGCCATTGCCGCTATCATTTGAATGAAAGGTCCTACCATGATGCCCTTGTTCCTTAGCACTCAAGAACCCTAAAACTCGAGGGGAAAAACATTCCCAATCCCTGGGAGCGATTCCGAAGCAGCCCGTTCCTGTGATAACATCAGAGGGTATTTAAAACACTCCAACCTCAGCTTTCTGCAGGCAATGCACTCCAAACTACAGTGGGAATGTGACAAGGAAATCCGGGAGACACTTTTCCTTGAAAGCGCGCGTGGCAAACGCTTCCCACACGAGGAACGGCTGCAGATTCCCCCAGCGACTGTCCCACCCGTGCTGGAAGTCCCATCTGGGCCCTGGGATAGTCAATGCGGTGGAAGTGAGGGCCGCAGGGAAAGACAAGCACGGCTATTCACTCAAGAGTCTTCCCCCAAATGATCTGTGAGTGGCGTCCCTCCACCCCCGTTTCTGTAAGACGGGTGTCCTCTTGAGTAAAGAAGGAGTTCCCCACGGTTTCTGCAAATGTGGCACTCAGAAAAGTGGCCGGACAGCAAGGAGTCTTTTACAAAGCCATAGGACTTTGCTTTACAAACGGGAGAGCATTGCCTCGGGAGAAGCCCGTGCAAAGCAGGCGGTTTAAACCGTATACTAGCTTCCCTGTGGAGGGAGGGAGAAAGAACCGGTTCGGGGTGCCCCTCCCCGCCAAGAATCCAAAGTGACCGCTGACCCATGCTCAAGTAAATCCCAAGGAGAGAAAAGGAGGGAGGAAGAATACTCCAGAAGGCTGCTGTTTTGTCAGGCTACATCTGAAAAGCTTGTCTGAAGGGGATTTCCCCGGGCACCCCTGCCACCACCAGGTAGTGAGCTGCTTCTCTGGAAACATCAGGGACAGGAGGCATGAAGGGGAGAAGGGATAAATGGGTTAAAAAAAAAGCTGCAGGAGAATACCTGCAAATACCTTGTTTTAAAAATGTGCATTTCCAGTGTAAGGCACCATCCTAATTGCCGACCTCTTCAGAGCACCTATTGGAGAAACGGTTTAACTAGGGGGGAGCGATGATCTTCTAATCTCAACAATAAAAGCGCCTCCATCCTTTGTATATGCTGACTTACAAAAAAAGTGCTTCCAGACAACAAAAGATGGAGCCGTAATTACATAAATCTCTCCATTCTTGATGAAGACACAATGCAACAAGAGCAAATCAATAGTGTCTCCGCGGTAATTCTTGTTTTTCTTATGAGCCCAATGCAAACTTGTTAAAATTGAATTCCACTTCTTGTGCAGATAAAAAAATTAGGATTTGCACAAATCCAGAGGAAAAGAACACATGTTCTGTAAATGTTTAATTTTTTCCCGTGCTACTGAGGCGATTTGCAGTGGGGTAGAGTTAGAAATGTGTGTGACACCACTAAGGGAACGCTGCCACCACCAACCCGGGGGGGAGAAGCACTGTTAGCCGGCTCCTTTAAGCTGATCCACGGAGGTGCTCTGAAGGCCCCAATATCACGTCCCTGATTCTTAATCCCACTATTAAATAAACTAAATGTCCCCTAAAGTCAAATATCTCCAACTCACTGCCAATAAATTGGTCGTAATCATTTCTCCCCCACAGCCCACATTTATAATATTTCTTATTCAAGAATAAGTAATTTTGTTGATTTTTTCCAAGAAAAGGTGAAACGTATTGCATTTAAAAATAATTAATAGATGGGCCTTGCATACCTCTGAATTAAATTAAAGGAAAAAATATTTCTTTTTTGTGCAGATGATTGCATTCATACCCTGTTTGGTGTGAAAAGTAGATTCCAAAAAGCTTTTAACTAATTTGTTCAATTTGTTTCAAAGCCAACATGAATAGGCTTGGTGCAAATTCAGATTCATTAAAACTTAATTAATATGCATCATTATGCAAATGAGGTTGCAGTTAATGAGTTCTTAAAAGAAGCTTTCTTTAATTAGTTCAGTTTTAATGGCATCATCATTTATCTGACTTGTTTTTAAAGCCACATGACATACAAAAAGTGACCAGCCTCTACAATGCACTGTCTAATTGTGTTTCAGCCTAATTGTTTAATGCTGAAACTTCGCAAAAGTTAAAACCTTTTGATATTCACGGACTATTAAATGGCTTTCACAAACTTTTCCATTCTGACCAAGGAGATGTCTGTCTTTCCTGCTATGGCTTCTCATTGTCATTAATTTTTTGACTCTGTCGTTTCTATCTCATTTTGGTCACAGAAGTGTGATGATGTCCAAGCTAGGCTATTTCCACACTGGGAGCTCAGTGGCAGAGGTACCCATGAGGCCGTGGAGAGCCTCACTCAGCAAGCAAGCTTTATTGTTGTGTGCATACATTAGGGGGCTTATTATACTTATGTAGTTGAAAAATTAAAAAGAGCCTTTCTTGAGGCCATCTGGTAACTTCAGGAGCTCGGTAACGTACCCCAGCTCAGGATTTTTAAATGTACTAATTCACAAGACTTAGAGCCACTGTCAGTGTCGCTGGTGACTGCCTGAATCGGCGATGCCAGCCTGGGAGATAAGAACACTTAATAATTATTGGGGAATATGGAAATCAGGAAGGAAAAAAACAGGTTTGTTGAGGGGGGTGGGTAAGGGGGCCGGGGGGTGCTAACCCAGAAAAATGAGTCCTCGGAAGCTCTGGAAATACAATGGGCATTTTAAACATTTTCACATTTATGAAACATTGTACTACACAATTACAACTGTATTTTGACATGTGGAGCAGAAGCAGTTCTTACTGGGGAGAGTGTATTTTACAGAGTCCTAGGGAGGGATGCAGCCCCTCGTTCCATGGTTTTATGCCACTCTCAGAAGTTTTAGAACTGACACAAAGTCCTGGCATTCGGGAGCTCAGATAGAAAGACACATGGCTTGAGGCGCTTTAAGTGGCTTTCTCTGTTTTGTCTGGGTAGCGGCTGAGTGTGCACACATCGCCCTAACCCTCATTAACAAACGAAACACCACCGAAGCCCCGCAGCCCTCAGTTTACAGGCCAAGGCTGCAGATATCGTATGTCGTTCGTAGGGGGGAAAGTGAAAAGAGAAACGCCCCTGCCTCTTGTAGCATTTCACCTTGTCACACCACCAGGGATACCCTGAATAAATAATTGGAAGCAAAGGAATCTCCAAGTGGGGAGCACTGACAGCCCATTCTTGGGGACGGGAGTCGTTGTAATGAGGGTGTGTCAGGGCTGGGAAGATGGCCCCCTTTCTGAGAAGTCTGCTGGTTGCAACAATGTAATTGGCATCACACCGCCATATGGTGTTGGGGACCGTATTAATAGAATTACAGGAGTATCTATGGGGGAGGCTCTGCTCATAAACAGCATCATGGAAAGGGTGCTGTGGGGATGCCATACGGGCATGTCTGTGGATGACAGGGCTAGGACAGACCTCACGATTCCTAGCAGAGGCGAGGGAGGCATCCAGAAGCCCCCAGCCCCCCTTACCTTAGTAAAAACAGAAAGTGCAGTACTTAGAGCCAGTCCATAATCAGATTAATTAATTCAAATATTTTTTGTTTACTAGACCAAACAATACAGTCCTTACGGGTTACATCTAATGAGTGTGGAGCAGGGTGCCTGGGATGGATGGGTTCAAAATTCACTACACCAGGTCAGAGTCTACTGACAAACGCTTTCTCTAATAAACTACAGCAGAACTGCATGCACACAAACAATCATATGGAAAGGGTGTAAATATATTTGCAACCCCGAATCCCACAGTGACAACGTAAAGTAAAATATTTCTGCCCGTGTGTCTGACAAAAGCACACTTCCAAGTGGCACTGGGCTGTCATTTAGAGAGCCATTTTCTAGTCTCTCGGTGATTTTCATAACAGCCCTTAGAAATGGACAATAATCCCCTTTGTCAGTGGTTTCATTAAACTAGGAGTGGGGGAAACTGACTTGGGATCTCAGGGACAGAATGCCTACGGGCCACACTGGACTTGGGACCTCAGGTTGAGCTCTCCTTCTTCAAGAAGTTTGTTCAGATTTATTCGCAGTCGTACAGGAAAACCTGGGGCCCTGAGTCTCATCCGGAGACGCTGGAAGGCAGCTCGACTGCCAGCCTCTGCTCCCAGCTTGGAGCGCTAATAGAAAGGATAAATTATCTGGGTCTGCAGCGCCAAGACGCACTTGCTGGAGTTTAGGGCTTTTAGGGATAAATATTCAAAATGATAATGTAGTGGCCATCAATCATAATTATTTTAAAATTCAATAAACATTTAGTGAGCACTTTCTTTGTGTCGGGGCATGGTGCCAGGTGCTGAAAAAGCTCGCCTTTATTGAATCCTCCCAGCATGGATGTTCCAGGGAGTCGTGTGCGCTCACATTGGGAGGTTGCTGGCACAGGGGAAGGTGGCTGGTATCAGTGTGGGATGCAGTGCCCCCAGGACTGCAATCGCTAAGCCCTTCTTACCGTGGTCTAGGCAAGGGCACCACAAGCATCCATTTAAAATTGGTTAGGAGTGGACAGCATACACACGAATGACATGTATGAGATATGATATCGGTCTGGCATGCAGAAATTTGTCTGAATTGGGATCAGATGTGGCTCCATTAGCAAACTGAAGTTGCTTTGCCTAGGAAAATGCCAGTGGTCACCGTAAGCAGCATGGTCACAGCCGCACTTGCCCGGAAATCAACTCACTGTTCAACATGATTAAAGAGTAAGTCACAACTGTCCTCTTCAAAGGTCACAAAAACAAGTCCCAGAATGACTGAGCATCTCACCTGGGCTGGGCATTGGTGACAGAGAAGAATGGCTTCTCTTGGTGCAGGAGGGAGTTCCAGGGCCTCCTCCAGTGCCTGTGCTGAAGTACTGTAGCCTTTTTTATAACTGAGTTAAATCGACTTCTTTGTTTGCAAAAGAGCGTTCATTTCAGAAGAAAGCAATTTATTTTCTCTTTTCCGAAGGCAGTCAGAAAACCCTGATGAAGTATGCTATAATCTATCATTTGGGTCAGATATGGTTGGCATCATATGCATTATATATCCCAGAGCTGAGAGTACATTCGGCTGCCCATATTGATTGAAGGCTCATCAGAGATCTCAAGGCTGGCAACTCGGTTGGAGGGCTTTGGAGAAAGTTCAGTAGGCACCCACAGAAAACAGAACTCTTGCTATGCATGAAGGTGCACACCTGGACTCCAAGGAGTGGGGAGGCAGAGACAGGATAAGGCTGCGATACACAGTGAATTTTGAGTCAGCCTGGGCTATGTCTTGGGGTAGGGGGTAGAAAGGGAACAGAGGAGAAAGGAAAAGGGAGGTAGAAAAAGTAGAAACAACAAGAAAACAAAAATCTGAACCTGAATTTGGGCCTCATGGAGTCTGTACTCAAAGGAACTGGAAGCAACCAGAGTCCCAGGCACAGGGCCCTTATCAAAACCCCCTGTATAGCATTGGTCTGAGACCTGCCCATGGACCCTCCCCACGATCATCCATTTGTGCTGACCTAGGATATCTAGTGCAACGGGCCAGTTACAAACATGGCTGCTACGTTGGATTTTAGAATTGTGTTTGTGTGCCACAGTAATCCTGTGGAGGTCATAGGACAGCTAGATGCTAGGAATCTGTTCAGTTATTTCCCCCACGTGAGTGCCAGGGATCAAATTCAGGTCAGACTCAGTGAGCACCTTTGCCTGTTGATCCCTTTGTCAGCCCAGATGTAGAGTGTGTATGTGTGTATGTGTGTGTACATACGTACATACATGCATACACACATACATACACACATGTAATACATAATATGTGTGTATGTATAATGGAATCATGACAGCAAGCACCTTTGCCCATTGAGCCCCTTTGTCAGTCCTGATGTGGGGTGTGTGTGTATGTGTGTGTGTGTGTGTTAGAATCATAATAAGAGAAAATTGTCAATATGTATCCAATCTGTATGTAATGCTTTCCATCCCCTGTTGGCTGTCTGAATGGAAGAAAAGCTTCAGTTTTAGAAGGCTACTGACTCTGTCCGTTGCGACAGGGCCTCAGGTTGCTCAGGATGACCTTGGACTCCTAACCCTCCTGCTTTCGCCTCCTGAGTGCTGGATGACAGGCCTGTGCCAGTATGCCTGGCTTTGGCTGGATGCCAAAAGAGCAAACGTCCATAAAGCCTAGAAGAGGAGAGAAAGGGGCATCGGCCGCGCATGCCAACTTGGCCTTCCCTAACTTGCCCCATCCGCTAAGCCATCCTGCCTGCTTGTCCCTCCTCCATCTCACTGCCAGGTCCCACAAGTCCACCCCCGCAGTGCCACCTGCTCAATGGCACCACAGACTCAAGACTTCCGTCCCTTCGTCAGGCTGCCGTCAAACCCCCAGTTTGCAAGCCATCGCTGCCTCTCTCACAGACATTCAGTGGCTCCCGAGTGCTTTCTCTCTTCGTCTTGTGGACTCTGGACTTAGTTTAAAAGCCTGCGGCATTCACAGTGTTCTCCTCCTGTTCTCCGTGTTGTCTCTCAGAACACACCAAGTACTCTCCAATTATCATTCCAATGGTTTGCTTTCTAGTTGGCATAAAAATAATGGGTTTTATGTCGTGAGAGATAATTTGTGAACTATCAAAGGAAATGGGGATGAAAAATCAAAATGTCCTGCAATGCAGCTACACAGATATGATCCCCATAGTATAATGCAGTGGATTGTATTCCATACATTAATATATGTAACATAAAGAGATAGTGACACACACACGGTGGGTAAAAGTGATCCTGTTGTCTGGTGTCTTTCCCCACCGAGCAATAGAGCGCTAGCAGCTTGTCATATCCTGAAATATCCTTAAAAGTCTTAAATTGAAGGAGTTATTTTGAGCAAGGCATTTAGGATCGTGCCTGGCACACAGCAGGTGCTCAATAAATGTTGGAACATTAGCTCCCACCATTATTACAACTATTATTATCCTCCAAAAACTTAATGTTTAATGACAGTATGATATTTGATGATACATATATTCAGCAATTAGTTTGAAATGTCCCTTGCTGCTGGGCATGTAGGCGGTTCATGAGTCTGTGCTCCCAAAAGCAACCCTGCAACGATTATCCCCATGTATGTGTGTATAAGTATGCATGTGCATTTATGCATTCATGTGCATGTATGAGTGTGTGTGTGTGTGTGTGTGTGTGTGTGTGTGTGTGTGTGTGTGTGTGTGTGTGTGTATCTACCTGTCTGGTTGTCAACCTGGGAGAATTTCTACTGCTGATAAATTTTATGTCCATTTTCTACTTCAAATTGAGTGCCTTTGCCGTGTTCTGAAACTTAAAGAGTCCTGGCTCAAGACCCGCATGTAAGCTTCCAATATAAAAGGTGACAGATAATTTCTTACTATCAGTGTGGAGTTCAAGTATGTCAAGGGCGAGGGACATATGCATGTTTTGCACGGCTCTATGTTCACCTGTGTGTGCACGTTTATAATGGGTGGCCAATGGAGACACAACTGGATCATAAAATCTTCCTAAGGCTGTTCTTCCTAGTATGTAACACTTGGTCAGAGTCACATGCTACCACCATTCCTTACATGCAGACAGTCTTTATTCAACACTTTTTGTTCTACACTTGGACTTGGGGCATCACCTTTAATCCATCATTGGGCATTCTGTTCATCTATTCATGCATCATTCATCCCCTTTAGAGATTGGCATATCCACCCACCATCCATCCACCCATCCACCTACTTATCTAGCCACACAGTCACCCATTGTTCATCCAGCCATCTTTCCATTCACTCATTCAACCATATACCCATACATACAAACATCTCCCCAGTCATCCACCTACCCGTCTATCCATCCACCCAATGCACCCATCCACCCATCCATTTTTTCACTCATCTCATTGCTCACTCATTCCTCCAATGGTTTGTAAAATGTACATTAAATTCCCACTGTAGCCAAAATTAGCTTTAGACACCAAGGAAAATATATAAGTAAAATTAACATTTAAGCAAAATGAATTCCAACATAAAAAAGTTCCTGTCGGCTCCTGATATACATCGCAGCTCTCATTTTGCACTACTTGATCCAAGAAATTGAGACTAACATGATTTTAAACACCAGAGCTAAAGAAGATGGGAGAAATATTGGCTCAAAAAATACCTTGAGAAAATGACCCCCAAATAGGACGTTATTTCCAAGCACCGAATTCTTTTCCTCTAACCTGCATGGCATCCTTGGGTCCCACTCTTTCCCTCTAATCCACAGGGCATCCTTGGGTACCACTTGTTTAAATATACTAAATGTTACAGTTTACATTATCATTTACAAATTCAATTTATGCTGAAGTCCCAAGTTATGAATCCTTTTTTAATTTTAAAAGATTTTTATTATATTTAATTATGTATATGGAGGAGTGTGCAGAAGCCTGTGGAAGCCAGAAGAGGGTGTCAGACCCCCCGGAGCTGAAGTTACAAGCAACTGTGAGCTTCCCAACATGGGTGCTGGGAATGGAACTCACTCTGAGCCACTAAACCATATCTCTAACCCCAGCTTATGAATCTCTAATACAAGAGGCGGCAACATTTTAGATAACAAATCATAAACAAAAGTGCTTTTAAAGTTGAGTCTCTTTGCCCTTATGTTCATCTTGACTTAAACCTGTATTAAACTCTTTTTTTCTAATTTGAAAAGAGAAGAAAGGGTTTAAACATCCCTGATACTCCCTCTCAACACAAAATGAGAGGAAAATGCTATATCGCCCTCTTTTAATTGATATCTTGTCCTTCATTTAAATTACATGTCAGCACAAACTGTCAATTGTGAAGAAGATATTGATATTTTATTCCCATTACTTCTTCACCTGGGTAAGGAATAAAACATTGAAACAGTGATTATATATGAATCACATCTTATACATCAGAGGTAAAGTGTAATTAGAAAAATAAGTTTTACCATTTGTGACACAGTCTTACAAAACAGATTCCTCCTCATGCTGGGAGCTGTTTTTAACTCAAATAATTCAACTAGATGATTTGCAAAGAGATGCCCCAAGAATTTTCCTTCCAGAACATTCATCTCTCCTACTTCCCACAAGGAAAATGCAACCTCTGCTCCCACCACCATCCCCCAGCCCCCATTGCTCATCCATCCTGACAGAAAATGGAAGGCAAAACTGGAGGTTTGAATGAGACTCCCTTGGGCTACTGAAACCCAGGGGAGGGCTTTGGGAGAAGGCAAGGTAGAGAGTTTGAGATGTCGCCTCTGTACCTGCTGTCGTGTGGGAGGAAGAGGAGGACTCTGTGGCAGAGAAGCTTCCACAGTGACACAGCCTGCTCCTCTTCAGTCACTCACTTCGCCACAGGTGACTGTCACCCACTATGCACTGGAAATCTCTATGGAAACATCAATGGTCCTAGTGACCTCAGAATGACAGGTTCTGGGTGATGCTATGTGCTTTGTTGTGCTGAAACGCCTTGACCACGGTCTCTGTCTTCACATGGAGTCCTCTCTTGCTTGATGCTGGAAACCCACAACTCAACTCAAACAGAATGAGAGACTGTTTATCCTTGAGCTAAGTATGAGTAGCCAGGGCCCAGGAACACAGATTTGGGTTGATTCAAATACCATGCTCCAACCAATTAACAGAAGGGAAATCAAGGCATGTTTAATTACATTGGAGGAAAGATAGGCAGACTATAGCCAAACAGGAAGATCTCTGCTGTGGCCTACTCGGATGTTATTCCAAGCATAGGGGGAATAAAGGTGGACCAGTCATGGGGCTGGGAACAGTGTTAAAGAATTCATAGCACCCCACTATTCTCCCACTGTTCCCCATCATTCTCCCTCAAAAAGGGACATCCCAGGCCTTCTAGAAGTGTCCATACATGATAAGTCAGACCCCTCTGAACCATCCCAGTACAGCAAGGGGACTCGCGTCACATCACAATAGACCAACTCCCACAAGTTAGCACACAACACTACTACAATTGAGATGGATGTTTTCTCTCACAGGCTCACATGTCCAGACACTTGGATCTGTTTTGAAGATTGGAAAACCTTTGGGATACGGTGTCTACATAAGAAAACGGGTCTCTGGTGAGGGGGACAAACTTGGAGGTTTTATCCCAACACCACTTGCTAGATGTGAACGAGCAGTCTCATGCTCCGGCCACAATAGCTGAGAGACTCTCCGTCTTCGTACCTTCCCCCACAGAGATGGACTACATCCTCAAAGCGTGAATCCAGACAAACCCTTCCTCCCTGGCCAAGCTTTTTCTCAGACGTTTGGTCACAGCAAAGAGAACAGCGGTTCATACACTTCCCTTTCACCCTGCCCCTCCACCCACGCCACTGCATGAGCAACCGAGTTTGAATAAAGGACTCCATTTGGGGAGACACTGGGCCCCCCTCCTGCCTTGACCTCTGACACTTCACCGTTCAGCAGGCACTGTGGTGATAGCTAGCCTACCTCAGAGAGGGTGGCTGCAAATTTCCAGTGGGAGTGCCAAGCACGCAGAATACCCCACACGCTACATAGCAACTGGCAGAGCTAAGTTTGTTTACCGTGACTATTTTTACTTCTCATGTCTGAAGCCCCCTATCCAACACAATGCCTCGCATAATGAAGGTAAGCAACAGATGTTTGTTGAATTCAGTTGGCTAAAGATTGGGTTGAATTATAAAACCTAAGGGAAGACAATGTATCCTTTTCTTTTTCATTCCCATCAGGATCAAGGTTTGCTTCATTGCCTTGCACCCAGCAGGGTGGTGAGGTGGTAAGCCTGCCTGCTGTCAAGTCTGGGGACCTGAGTTCAATTCTCGGATGGAAGGAGAGAACTGACTCCCATAAATTGTCTTCTGACCTCTATAAATGTGCTGTGGCACACATGTGTACATACACATATATAAACACGCACACATGCATGCCTACAAACACACACACACACACACACACACAGAGAGAGAGAGAGAGAGAGAGAGAGAGAGAGAGAGAGAGAGAGAGAGAGAGAGAGTAAATTAATGGAAGAAGAAAAAGAAAAACCAGTTCTCACTGCATCTCCTAGTAGGTGCTGAGGTATGGTTGACTTCTTAGCCTAATTCCTTAAATCCTTTGTGGCTTTTAACCTTGTGGGGAAGACTGAGATCTGAATAAATGGATGGTCTCATGACAAGTGGTGACAATGGTTTCTATCGGGCAAACAGACACAGAGGGGTCACAAAACCCCTTTTGAATGCTCCCCTGACTTTTAACTCCCCATAACCTGAAGACACCATCTCTCACCACTTGTACTTTGACCCCACAGTCCTACTGACCTCATCTTTTGGCCCCCAGCACAGAAGCAGGTACCCACTCAGGGTCCCTATCTCTGTTATCTCCTCCACCTTGCAGGCTCCACATTTGTGTGCTGTATTCCCTAGGTGTTAACTCTGCGCACCAACGTGCCTAGATTGCAGGGTACTCAGGTGCTGGGCTGAGCATCATCCTGGGTGCATCCGAATAAGGAGAATAACATTGGAATCTCAAGGTGGGGAAGCCCAAATGCATAGAGCCAGGGAGTCACCTAAAGAGGATGGGTCTCATCAGGCTATCTACAGTCTGAACAGAACAGAGGTAGAAGGGATGGGAAGTCCCCTCCCACCCTGACCTGGACCCTGCTCCTCCAGCTTTCCAATTCTTACAGCACCAGCTGCTCGCTCCCCTTGGGTCTTGTGCCTGTCAGGGTTCCAACTTGAACTCACGCCCTTGGGTCCACCTAGTATCTATCATCTACCTCTAGCTGTGTGATTGTATACATTGATGCTCTTCAACTTCCCATGGCCCAACTTGCAAGTTTTAAGTAACTTTCACGTAGCTGTTCTGTTACATTTGTTGGAAGGTGTATGTGCCGTGGGCACAAGCGGAAGTCAGGGAACGGCTTTCCGCAGTTGGCTCTCCCTCCCACCATGTGGGTCCCGGGATTGAACTCGGGTCTTCAGGCTTTGCAGCAAATGCCTTTACCCACTGAGCCCTCTTGGAATCCACTTTCTGTTTTGTAAGGGCACAGAACTGACATGGAGAGTCCTTTGGATGTCCATCTTTACCTGAGCTGTTGACATGCGGTCTGCTCTCACCTCTGGGGACTGACTGATCAGTGGCATTTTTGGTGCAGCTCCCAGTCAGCTTTGCAATCATGAGAGGGAATGGCGAACACTCTCCAGTGTGGCACGAGACAAAGCTGGGACACCAAGTAGGGTGGCTGTAGGAAGCACTTTCTTGCTCATGCTGTCTTAAACTCAAGGGGTTTAATCAGACCTAAACTCGTGCCCAGCTGCCCTCACAGATGTGGTGCTTTCATCTGACACCTGCACAGCTGGTTTTCTCTGGAGAGCCCTGGACAACATCTCCTCCCTTCACTTAGGGTTCTGTGAGAGCACACGGCTAAGTCCAGGAGAGAGGACAAGTTTCTCCCAGCCTTTGTCCCTTCTTTGTCCCTGAACCAGACCCACTGGGTACCTGCATCCAGTCATACCTGAACCAGACCCACCCAGAGCACTGGGTGCCGCATCCAGCCATACCTGAAACAGATCGCCCAGGGCCACGGGTGCCGCAGCCAGCCATACCTGATGCCTGACCTGCCCTTCAATTGCTCAGAGAAGAAAGCCACGTTTCCAAACTCTGGTTCACAACAGAAGCTGGCCCTCATGTGCAGTGACATGGAGAAGGGGACACCGGAGTGGGGAGAACAAACAGATGGGAGCTAATGAGACGGCGAGAGACAGACACATCAACACCGTCACGTTACTTTGCAGTGGACATGCACTTCCCGTGATAGCCCAAAAGGTAGACACGGGACTGAAGAGACGGCTCGGTGACTTCCAGCACTTTTTGATCTTTCAGGGATCCAAATTCAGTCTCCAGTTCCAACATTGCCGGGACTCCCAACTGCCTGAAATTCCAGGGGATCAAACACCCTCGTCTCGTCTCTGAGACCACCCACGTGGGCTTGTATGTACCCACACAGAGGCACATAAGCAAAAGTAATTCTTTTAAGAAAATTAAAAATGTGTTTAAATAAATTCTCTGCGATGCAGGCACCACTCCCCACCGCCGCCGCCACCCCTCGACCCAAGGCGGAAGCATCTACACACGGCTGTGTGTCATCAGCTATTTAGGGGGTGATGTCTTCTCACACTCACTTAGTTCTCCTCAGATGTATTCAGTGCCATGGGAAAAAATTACATTTAATAATTTGGCCATGCTCGCTGGACTAAATTGCCCAAGTTTTTATTTGATGCAATTAGGAAATAACACCATCACCCAATTTATCAGGTAAAAAGTTCTAGTGGACACATTTGTCTTCATTTATGTGTTTCTTACGTATCACTTGTCCTCCTTCTGGGAGAAAAATATTCAAACGCATTCGTGTTTTTGTATTGAGTATGAGGCAGAGCTCCTAAAGACTAATTTTCCAGATTACTTATTTTATATTTCGTGTCATTAATTCCACATGTGTGAAAAACATATAATTATACCCACCTTATTAGTACTGAATGAAATTCTGTATTTTTCAAGTGCACTAATAGGTAAGTTGGCACTAGACTTGTGTACACAAATGAGGTTTCTGAACTTTAGAATGCATTTCAATTATCTCTCTTTGCCATCAAAAGTACCCAGCGAAGTGCCAGGACTCTGCATTTGACAAGTGTTCCTACCATCCTCCCCCTTATTACAGTGGATGCCCCGGGAGGCAAATACCTGTGTGGCATGCAGGGCTCCTCGTAATTACACCAGTGGAATGGAAGGGTCATGGCGGAGCGGGGCGCAGGAACTGCATCACTCTGAGATGCACTGTGAGCACTGAGCTGTGGAGCCCGGTGGGGTTTGACCTGAAGGCACAAGAGCGTGCTGAAGGCTCTAAGAAGTCCTGCCTCAAGGAAGGCCAGAACCACCTCTCCAGCAGACCTTTGCCGCATTCTCTGTCTATGGGACATGTCACTATCGACAGCCTCCGAGGGTCCTACCAAGTTGACACCAGCTAGGCACTGTCATTACCTGATAGAGGGTGACTCAAAGGTCTTGAGGCTTCTTGATCTCATGAATAGGAGTGTGGTCTGTCTGTCTGTCTGTCTGTCTATCCTGGGAGATGCTTCAAGGCTCCAACAGAGAACCTTCCCAGCCTCCCTCCTAGGGAGGGTTTTTTTCCCATGTGTTTGCTTGTTTGCTGACAAGGGGTAAAAATCTGTCTTTAAGGCCCCCCTCTGGACCAGAGTGTGCTGACTGTCCTGGAAACTAGGTCTGTAGCTCCTCACCCAGTTCAGGGTCACCCATTTGGGCTCGACACTATGCTCCCTGCAGATGACCAGGCAAGGCCTCTACCTGCTCTGAGCTCTCCTGGACAGCCTCTTCCTTGTGGTGCTGGTTAGTTTTAAATATCAGCTTCCCACAAGCAGCATAGCTTGGGAAGAGAGCATCAGCCGAAGGACTGCCTGGGTGGGGTTGGCCTGTAGAATAGCTGTAGGGAATCGTCTTGATTGTTGCCATGGCGAGACTCGGCCCATTCCCTGGACTGGCTCTCAAACTAGATCAAGGTAGAGAGAGCTAGCTGGTAGGTAAGCAGCAGGCAAGCAAGGGACCCACGTGTCTGTTCTCCCTCTGTTCTGGCCTCGGGTATGATGCTTAATTTCCTGCCTTGACTTTCCAGCGATGGCGAACTGTTAACCTGGAACTGTGAGTCAAATTAAACCTTTCCTCTGCCAAGTGTCCTCTTTTGTCATGGTGTTTGTCACAGAAGCAGACATAAAGGTATGTCAGTTATTCTCCGTCAAGTGTGTCCCGGTTACTGATTTCCAGAAGAAAACCGAAGTTCATAGCAGATGTTCAAAGAGCCACAGATTCATGTGTGGCTGAGAGCCCTTGCCAGAAGCTAAGTTTTTCCTCAGTACACGGCTCACATCTCTCCCGCAAGGAGGCCCCTAGGTGGTAAGGACCAATCAGACTTCCTCACTCCAACCTCCCTCGCTCAGCCTGAGTCTTGATGAGAATGGAGTGTCCTTATGTCCCCAGTCCTGTAGGAACAGTGGAGAGAAAAAATATGCATGAAAAGGGTACAGGTGGCTGGGCATTGGTGGCACACAACTTTAATCCCAGCACTGGGGAGACAGAGGCAGGCTGATCTCTGTGAGTTCAAGGCCAGCCTGGTCTACAGAGCCAGTTCCAGGACAACCTCCAAAGCAATACAGAGAAACCCTGTCTCAAAAAAAACAAAAGAAAAAGGGGGCACGGATGCCTGGCAAATCTTGCATGACTGGGGCATCACTTTTTGGTTAGTAAGATTGTGAACATGGCAAAAGACTCACAGTATAGCCGAAGGGTGACAGTACAGCTGAAGGCTGGAGTCTGGGAGCTACTGCCCATGCTTCACCACTCAGGCTCTCCCTAGTCTGGGAGCTACTGTCCATGCTTCACCACTCAGGCTCTCCCTAGTCTGGGAGCTACTGCCCATGCTTCACCACTCAGGCTCTCCCTAGTCTGGGAGCTACTGTCCATGCTTCACCACTCAGGCTCTCCCTAGTCTGGGAGCTACTGCCCATGCTTCACCACTCAGGCTCTCCCTAGTCTGGGAGCTACTGCCCATGCTTCACCACTCAGGCTCTCCCTAGTCTTACACAGGTTTGTTGTGTCAGTGTCTTGAGTGGCTGCCAGGGAAAGGCAGCAGCTAAGTTTAAAAGGATGAGTCTAACCCAGAGAGGGAAGGCGTACTGCAGCATTGTAGGTGGAAGCCATCCTGTAGCCTCAATGGTTTATGTCCCCTTATTCATAGAAGTCACTAGTCGGTGGGACTCCATGTAAGGATCCAGGCTGTTGTGTAGACATGAGGGCGGAGAACACGATTGAACACCTGGCCGACAGTCCCTGCAGAAAAATGTGTCCTCCTGGGTGAGGTCCCCTTTCTATTTTCATATCACTGATCTAGAGAGTGTCCCCCACTCTCTAGTGAGCCTTTGTAGCCTCCACTGTCTTTCAGAGGGTATTGGTACTGGCTTCGGGACATTAGTTACCATGTCTGCCTCTGGAATGTCCCACAGTACTCTGGATGGATCCTCACCAATAGCCAGAAATGTCTACTCCCCTGCCTCATTCCCTCCTATCATTGCCATCAGCCTCAGCCCTCTTCTGGCTGTTTCTAATATTCAGCTGATTTTTTTGTCTTTTCGGGGCCGCATTAGTTTCTCCTTACTGATGTAACAAATTATCCCAAGTTCAGAAGCTTATAGTATCACAGATGTTATTGCCTTACCAATCTGAAAGTTACAAGTCTGTGGAAGTCTTGTGGGGCTTACCATCAAGACATCAGCAGACTGTCCTGTCCAGGCCTCCAGGGAGAATCAGTCCATTATCCCGGTCACAAAGCTACCTGCTTTCTTTGGCTCCTGTCCTGGCATGTACTTCTCAGACTCTCAATCCCATGTATCCTGCTCCCGAAGTCCCTATGGCCACTCTCAAGGATCGTCAATGATCACCTCTCTGTCTGCAGGTCCTTCAGGAATCTCTTTTGCTGAGTGAGGTAACATGTTCAGAGGATTTGTGGTTAAGGTAGCCAGCTTGTGGGGAACTTTTCTTCTGACCACAATGGACATGGTCAGGATGGAGCTGGACCCCTTTCTGCTACCCAAGGCCTGCCCTTCTCTCTGCTGCTGTCCACCATGCTGACAGGCCTCTTGCTGTGTCTTACTTTCCTAGCAATCCACAGAACTGGGCCCCTTGGACTTGATGGAACCATGTGACTGGTCTGCCCAGTGAGTTGTAAGCAAAACAACACGTACTACTTCCTGGTGATAACATTGGGTTTTGAGTGTGAGGCATTCCAGAGCCTTCTTTTTCTCTACCTGGTACCCACATGACCAGCATTTTTATGGGCACTCAGAGATCAAATACTGGATGCCTGGCTATACCTGAGTTTCAAGAAAAAAAAAATCCAGTTTTCAAACTTGTTTATCTGAAACTCAAGTGGTGTCTAGTTTGCACTTGCTAAGTCTGGCAACCCCAAGTGTGAATGAGATATGAAATTCTACTGACGTAGTGACACGCGGGGTTGTCTGTCACCAGGCATAGACCTTCCTTCCCGCTGCCCCACAGGCCTTTGCTTAAGCAGCCATCAGCATGGAGCCCGACGGCAGGAAATCTCAGCCTACCCAAGCAAAAGAGAAAGTGGGGTTGTGAGTCCAGGAACACAGTTCATCCTCAGGGCCTGTAGCAGGTGCCCACAATGCACCTACTACATATGCCAGGCTACTACAGGTAAGGTGTGGACAACTTGTCTGTCTTAAGCTCACCTATTCAGAACTCGCACAGACCAGAGAAATCACATCGGTGTTTGGAACACTCAGCAAAGCCCCCAGGCACATTTTTCCAAGCTCTCTCCTTCAAGCGTGCGCAATGACATTCATTCCTGAAAAATGCTTCAGTCACTGGGTGACACAATGTCAGACGCCATGTGTGCAGAAATCCTGGAGGGTGCAGGCCCACCCATGAGCTAATCAAAATGTGGCCCAAGGACAGCTACTTTAGCTTTCCTGGAACCTGATTACAACTGTGACATCTCTTGTCTCAACCCCTCTCTCCCTTCCCCACCCCCAGACCTTGCCCCAGACCTATAGAGTCCAAATCTGAGTTATGGAAAGACCCCCACATGGTCCATTCAGCAGCAGCAAGAAGGAGTCGTGATCCTTAGAGCTGACTGCACTTGAGAGTAATGAGGAGGCCCTCACACATGTCCCCTGTCTGGCCCCCGACCAAAAGTATCTGACTTAAGTTATCTGGGGCAATTCCCAACTGCAGGTATATTTTAAACCATACTTGCGGTGATTTTGATGTACAGCCAGGGTATAGAAACCTCTCTTCTCCAGGCTCCTTCGCTGAGTCAGGCTCGTTCCTTCCTGTTAGGAACACAACAGGCCTGAGAGGCTGAAGGTTGCATAACTAGAGCTATGGAGAAAAAAAGATATCCCCAAGATGAAGGGCTTGATAACCTGATCCCCATAAACAAGCATACATTCATACAGTCTCATTAACATACAGTCACACGCTGTGTTTATAACGATAGAGTTGCCAAAAAATGGGCGTCAGTAAAACAAACCGCATTGTCACGGTGGTTATTATTATTGTAACAAAACTTTAACATTTCCTACCCCTCTGCCAATGCAGTCACAATGCATAATGCATTTGCAATTGCTTCCAGCTGTCTCCTGCTCTATGAATGGGGACACTTTGGTACACGAGGCTTTCAGACTGCCTCGTACATTTGCACGAGAGGCAGTCATCTTCCCATTCATGACTAGAGGCTCCTCTGAGGAGTAGGAGGTGCGTGATCTCAACCCTTAAAGGGGTGCATCCTCTTGATCCAAGGAGATCTACAAAGCTGCATGAGGCAAAGTGGATTCTGTGTCTGTGACAGTTTGAATGTAATTGGCCTCCATTATCTCATAGGGTATGGCACTATTGGGGGTGTGACCTTGTTGAACTAGGTATGGCCTTGTTGGAGAAAGTGTGGCACTATGGGGGCGGGCTTTGATGTCTCTTGCACAAGCTTCACTCAGTGTGATAGTCAGACCACTTCCTGTTGCCTTTTGATAAAGATGTAGCCAGCACCATGTCTGCCTAGACGCTGTCATGATCCTTGCCATGATGATAATGGACTCAACCTCTGGAACTGTAAGCTGCCACCTCAATTACGTGTTTTCCTTTACAAGAGTTGCTGTGGTCATGGTGTCTCTTCATAGCAACAGGAACCCTAAGACACTGTCAAACAAAAAGACCTGTTTCAAGCTCTTCTTATGTCCCAAGTCCTTGTAAAGTGGATGAGCTGACCAGGAGGTGGTGGCACATGCCTTTATTCCCAACACTTGAGAGGCAGAGGCAGGAAGATCTCTGTGAGTTCAAGACCAACCTGGTCTACAAGAGCTAGTTCCAGCACATCCTCCAAAGCCACAGAGAAACCCTGTCTCAAAAAAAATGTGGATGACTTGACATTCCCTATGTCCTTACCCACAATTGAGAAGCCAAGTTGACTACATCACGTGACTGTCATGAGATTCAAAGGAAGCAATGCTCAAAGAAAAGTTGCACCACAGCAGAAAGGTCCTGTAGCATATGGGTATTGCAACATGCCACCACAAAGAGAATGAAGCTGCTGTCTCCCAAACCTTTATATCTCCATGTTTTCTGTGCAAAGTTAAAGGGAAAGAAGTTAGGCGGGATGGATGAGTGGGTTGGTGGGAGGATGGATGGATGGATGGATGGTATATGAATCAATGGGAGAATGGACGGGTTGTTTGGAGAAAGAATAGATGAGTAGAGGGATAAATCTAGAAGGAAGGTATATCGGTAGATACTTGGGTGAATGTATGAGTAGATGGGTGGATAGATGAAGATGGTTGGATGGACATAAAAGAAATTTTTAAGGATTATGTTTATGTCGTGCGTGTGAATGTTTGGTGTGTATGTGTGTATGTGTCCACCTGCACGCCTAGTACTTGCAGAGGTCAACAAAGGATGACAGATCCCCTAGAACTGGAGTTACAGAATGTTGTGAGCTGCCATGTGGGTGTTGGCAGCAGAACCCAGATCTTTTGGAAGTGCTCTTAACCACTGAGCCATCTCTCCAATCCTGTAGATGTACAGAGTCTCAACACACATCCCACATCCCACCGCTCTGAATCAATCGTTCAAATGTCTTCCTGGTGTCACACAGGTGTGGGGACAAATATGGCAAATGGCAGAGGAGGGAGACCCAGGCTCTGAGCAGCTTTGGGGAGGGGGCTAATATGGCAGAGAAGCGAGCCCATGAATTCAGTTGAGAACAGATAAGAGCAGGAACTGCAATTAACAGAAAGAGACCACACAACTATGGGAAATGTTATTGTCCATGCTTTCCTGGAAACAGAACCCAGGTTCCAACTTGCCTGATAGCCCAGTGGGGAGACTGCAATTTAAGCCCATGTCTCCAGACTCTGCATCTACTATTCTCTTTTCTCCAGCCATCAAGACTGGCCTAAACCAGAGGACAATTTCCATGTACAACACAGAGGTCCTCACAGCAACACGACCTGGGAAGCTGAGAAGTGCAGTTGCTGAATGTTACCTCTTAGCATCCACGCCACTCTGGTCAAGCTTGACCCTTGCCTGTGCCGTGCCCTTCCTAGGCTAAACCCCAGCAGAGCGAAACATTAGGCATCAGATTCATGTCAAAGCCCTACGATACCATTCCACTGTGAGCATTAGCTGGCCAGAATAACCCATTAAAGCAGGACTTCTTCAGGGTCTGAAGCCTTGAACGTTTTTCATTTACCAAACTTTTGCTCCAAAATCATTGACTTTCCTTTAAGTGTGGAAGAACCTATGCACTAATTTCTGGAAATAATGTCATAAACACATTTGTGTGTTTCCAGAACGTGATGATAGGTGTGAAATCACCAGTACTCAGAATCTTCTGGGGTTTTCCTTCCCCATAAGCCTCTACAGTGTCTCGTCCACAGCTAACCTGACAGCAGTTCCCACGACAAACCCCTCTCTACATTTTTTCAGAACCTTTGCATTGAGCTGACTCCAAACAACTCACGCTTTTCCCTTGACACTAATGTGAAAAGTGTGCTGTTTGGTTAATTTAGCCCTTCACGGGAGTGGGCACCTCAGAGCAAGGAGAACCTAGAACAACCCCAGTGATTCCTGGTAACATCGCAGGTCATCAGGTGAGGTGTGGGGACAAACGTGGCAAATGGCAGAGGAGGGAGACCCAGGCTCTGAGCAGCTTTGGGGAGGGGCTAATATGGCAGAGAAGCGAGCCCATGAATTCAGTTGAGAACAGATAAGAGCAGGAACTGCAATTAACAGAAAGAGAACCACTGTGATAGACTGGGTCGGAACCTCCGGTCCATCACTGTCTAATCACATGTCCTTGGACCATCCCAGGTCAAAATGGGGATATCAGCAATCTTTCCCAAGCTCCTGAAATTTACTGAGTCACAACAGAGATGTCTTGTCCCTGTCCTCACTTCCTCCATCCTGATAGTCCTGTGGGCATACAGACATGGCTCAGTGAAGTCCTGGTCACACAAGCATGGGTACTAGCGTGTGACCCTAGCACCCACATAAAATAAAATAAAACAAAATAAAGCCATTTGGTACTACAGGATGTGCCAGTAATTCCACCACTGAGGATGTAGAGCCAGAAGAATGACAAGGACTTGCTGGTCAGCTGGTCCAGCAGACACAGAGAGCCCTGAATTCAGGGATAGCCTGTCTCGTTGAAAAAATAAGGTGGAGAGCCGTGGAGGAAGACACAGGTGTTGACCTCTGACCCCCACACTTGGTAGTTAGTGTCTTGTGCATGTGTGTTCTTTGTGCCAAATTACGAATGCTTCAGATCCTTAATAACCCTGAGGCCGTCCATTTCCCCTGCTTGCACTTCTTAGTCATTTTTACCTTTGAATTTGAAAGAAAGTGAAAAAAAAACAATCACTTGTGCATTTGCACACATACACATGCACACAATCACATACACACAGATTGTCTCTCTTCTCTCTCTCTCTCTCTCTCTCACACACACACACACACACACACACACACACACACACTGTTAGGATCCACCACTCTACACAAGTGGGAGGTCAGACTACACCACCCTTTCTGATTCGAGGCAACATGCTTCAATTTCAATTGCAAATCCCTGAGACTCTTTTCTGAATTACATTTGGTTTTTAAAGCCAGAGGAGTGCAGAAGTCAGGAGATCATCTACAGAAGATGTTTCCTAATGCACATAACCAGGTCTTATGATAATCAAACCAAAGCTACTCAAAACTCCTCAGAACCCTGCAGTCAGCTCTAAGTCTCAATTGCTCTAATGTTTGCCGTTTGTAGAATTCCTTAGCTGGAGCCCCACAGAAAGGCAGGCTCTTTGCGGGTTTTTTTTGTTTTTTGTTTTTTGTTTTTTTTTTTTGTTTTTTTTTTTGGCAGAAACAGAGAGGGACTCGCCAATTCGTCTGGTGAAAGATGTATGGTTGTAGCAAGTTGTAATGAAATATGCATAATATGTACTTAATAGAAACCAACACCTTCCGCTGGAAAAAAAAGAAACATCTTCCAAACCAAGGAGTACATGCCTGAAATGCAAGGAAATGCAAGTTACCTTCACTGCTTGCTTCTGTTTCTAAAATGGCCTAGAATCAAAGAAAATGATTGCTGGTAGAAAAAAAAAACTTCATCAGATTTTATCTTAAATTGCTGGTGGCGTTTTCTGACTCATGGGTGAGTTTGTGGTCCTGGAGAGGTGCCTAGACATTGTAATTCCCAAGAATTATAATTAACAAGAAAAAAAATTCTCTCATTTATTTACATTCCCATTTGAACACCAGATAAATTATTTGCTGAAAGCCTCTTAATGATTTCAAAGTACATAATTATCTAACACACTGGTCCTACTTTCAGAAAGTAGAAACTATGGCAAAATGACCCCACTTCCCCCCAGAAAAAAAATCCTCTTCTCTGACAACTCCTGCTAGACATATCTTTTATGGCTTTTAAAAGTTATATTGGTTTTTTTAAATATCAAAATATTTTATGCAAAATATTTCATTTTTTAAAAAAATTCTATCTCGCTCTTGGGAGATGGTACGTGTGATTGTTAAAGACACACCGCAGATTGCAATAAATTCTGAAATTAACACTGAATATATTTTCAGATTATGTTTACATATGGGTAGGTTTTTTTTAGACTCCCTATCTTTTTTAGATTTATGAGATTCTCTACAATAAAATTTTGTGTGAGTATATTTAAATTTCATATGTGTATATATTTATATACACAGAGAACAAGATTACATACTTGCTTTAATTTCTCCCAGTCTTAAAAGCTCATAAAATATTTAAGCCGTTTCTGAA